GATCTGTCTGACTCATCATCGACCGAACCATGTCTAACAGTGTTCCGGTTCCTCCGTTCAGACACGCCGTTCCACTGTGGCGTTCCAGAAGGAGTTAATTGTGATACAATACCACAATCAACCAGATAGTCAGTGAACTCTTGGCTCATATACTCGCCACCATGATCGGATCGAAGTGTCTTGATCGTCTTGCCAAGCTGGTTCTGTACTTCGTTTCTGAAAGCCTTGAACATTTCAAGTGTTTCAGACTTATGTCTTATCAAATAGACATAACCGTATCGACTGAAATCATCAGTGAACGTAACGAAATACAAATAACCTCCTCTAGCTAGACAGCTCATTGGTCCGCATACATCACTATGTATCAGATCCAATAACTCTGTCGCTCTCTGTCCATTCCCCTTGAAAGGATGCTTCGTCGTCTTACCCATCAAACAAGACTCGCAAGATTCAAGAGACTCAAAATCAAATGAATCCAGAAGACCTTCAGAATGAAGTTTTTGAATGCGTTTCTCATTTATATGGCCTAGACGACAATGTCAGAGGAAGGTCGGGTTTAAATCGTTCGGCTTAAACCGTTTAGTACTCATGTTGCAGATCGATGACGTTGAGTTCGAAGGCTGATCATTCAAGACATATAAACCATTCACTAAATAACCATTACCATAGTAAATATCGTCTCGATAAATCATCAAACTCGAGTTCTCAATAACAAATCGAAAACCATCCAAATCCAGACATGAAATAGAAATAATGTTTCTGCTAATCGCAGGCACATAGTAACAATTACTTAATTCTAAAACAAGTCCAGAAGGAAGATGCAAATCATAAACGCCAACACACAATGCAGCAACTCTTGCTCCATTTCCGACGCGTAGATCTGCTTCTCCCTTAGCTAGCATCCTACTTCTTCTTAGTCCCTGCACATTTCTGCTAATGTGTGAGGCACTTCTGGTATCCAATACCCACGAAGATGTAGTGCAGATGTTAGCTTCTATAACATGAACACCTGAGGCAGAATCTTCACCAACCTTCTTGTCCTTCAGATCCTCCAAGTAAAGGTGACAATTACACTTCCAGTGTCCAGACACTCCGCAGCAATGACAGTCACCCTTATCGGGTTTAGGCTTAGACGTAGAGGTAACTTTTGCCTTGTTCGCCGCCTTCTTTTTGGCTTTACCCCGCCGCTTCTTCTGGAGCTTTTCTCAACAGCAAGCACAGTCTTGGGCACCACGATATCCTGCTCAGCCGATTTCAGCATCCCATGCAATTCGGCTAAGCTCTTAGTCATCCCGTGCATATGGTACTGCATCACGAACTGGTTATAGTCCTCGGGTAATGACATCAGGATCAAGTCTGCAACCAAGTCACCATCAAAGTTCACTCCCATATGCTCAAGTTCCTCAACATGAGCTCGCATGTTGAGGACGTGGGTGTTGACAGAGCTGCCTCTCGGCATCTCCGTCTTCACTAGAGCCTTTAGGTCTTGTACTTTTCAGTACGCGCTAGCTCCTGAAACATGGTCTTCAGCTGTTCGATCATATCAAACACGCTCTTACCCTCAAACTGCTTTTGCAGATTCGGGGCCATGCTTCCCAACCTGAGACAAGAGATCTCGATGTCGTCAGTCTGATGCTTCAACCAAGCATCTTTGACGGCTCTCGTGGCATTAGCTGCAGGCTCTGGTGGTAGAGCCCCTTCCAGGACGTAAGACTTCTTATCGTGCTTGAGAACAACTCTCAATTTCCGATACCAGTCTAAAAAGTTCATCCCGGTCAGCTTATCCTTCTGAAGGATAGATCGCATTGTCAAACTCGGTACATTACCGGTTGACGCCATGTCCTACAAAAAAGACAAACAGAACATACAGAACAAATACAGATTCTATTAATGATCAACTACCAGCTAGCCCATCATCAATCAGTGTCTATATATCTATGATCTACTACCAGCTAGTCCATCATCAAACAATGACAACACAGATGAAAAATGAGCTATAACCCCATACAGAAAAATAACCCTATAATAATTTTCTATATGGGACTAAAATCCATATTTCGCATAAGAATGGATTGTTACACCCATCTTTATGCTATTTAGGTAGACATCTAATGTCAATCACATCCAATGTGACTCTCAGATTCTTTTATGAGACTATGATATCAAATATCATTGCATACTCGTCTCATCTGTACCATCAAGTCTCAAGTCAAACTTGACAACTTAACCTAAGGTAAACCATATTCAAGCTGTGGGAACCACGATTTTCCACCCTGCCTCACAAAGATAGTCCGACACGCTCAGCTTTGGCATGACCC